GCAGTTTCAAAATGGAATTGTCTGTATTTTTGTTCTCCCAGACAGACCTCTGATTCTAAAATTAAGCTCTAGTACCTTGTTCTGCTGCAAGTCACTGAAGATCAATCACAAAAACAAAGTACTCTTTTAATTTGCAGACAAAATATCCTATAAATAGAATCCTACTAAGCAAAATGTTCTGTAAATAGAAACTTTTCCTTTGTTTTATAAGTAGAGACTTTCTCTGAAAAGAATCCACCAGCCAGCTAATCATAATACTGTTCAGCAAACCATTATCTCCAGGAGATTGCTTATTTCAATAGAGCCTTAGTTCTATTACTGTCAAGCATGCCTGACTAAATGTTCCAGCGTCTAATGCAAGTTGTATTACATTACCACATGCTCGGATCCCCTTCAGAATCCCGACATTCTAATCTTAGGTCTTGGATGAGATGCAGTGAGATGGACAAGGAAGAGGAACAGCTTTGATACTTCCCTTGTTAAACAAATATAGCCAGCACAAGAGTTAAGCTATGTGTTCTTAACTTAAATCAACTTAAACTGATACGCAGTAGTGGCAACAGTAGACTTTCTGTGCATTAGTCAGTTTACGTTTTATGACTACAGAAAGTCTACTGTTGCCACTACTGCGTATCAGCTTAAGTTGATTTAACTCTAGATTCAGAATTCATATTCTGCACAGCTCAATGTACTAATGATTTTTCAGTGTTATTATAAGCTACGTCTTCCTTTAAAAAGCTGCAAATAGCATCACGTGTTTCTGCTGTAAGTAAACAGAAGTATTCAGAACCATTTCCTAAAGAAACAAAGTTTACACAATTGCAAGGCAATGCTATCTCTGTTCATCCCACTCCAGCACCCCTTCCTCCAACAATTTTTGAATCTATCTGCCAGTTCCCATTAAATTTGTTAAAAGGTATCATTGAGAAATGTTAAGTTCCTAAGGGCTCTTTAAAATAGATCAAAAAAAGTAGCAATCCTACTAATCCTTTACAAAGAAACAACTTCAATGTGGGCTCAATTTTACCAGATTACAGAAGCCCTATCCAGAAAATACTATCAACACCCAGTCACAGGAAAAAATAAACCGACATGATGTTCTGCTAACCAAGGCACCTAGCTATTAGACAAATTCTGTTGGCAAACTTGAGTTCACTGCTGATTACAGCTATGTACTACAGCACCTAGAAGCCTCAAAACGAGCCATTTTATTAGACATACTACATGCACTAACATAGTCCTTGCCCTCAAGAATTCAAAATCGGAACTGGACAAATAAAATCATCCAGTTAAATTCCAGGCATGAACTCCCAACAAGTTTATAAGCGGATTTCACATCACCATCCTCTGCAATAGGTACACGCTGTTTCACGGGGAATGCGTACAAGAGCTGCCTAAAACTTTCGCAGGCAGTGCTTTGTAAACAAGCATACACAGCAACCCACCATATTTTGGTCTGGAAACATCTTCAGACAGTTCAGAAAGGCTGCAGACACAAGAGTTGAGAAAGCCTGGGCACATAGGGAAGGGAAAGACCACACCTAACAGCTGCTCAGGGCAAAACTTACTGAGCAGTGGCTCTGTTCAATAAATTGCTCACGCTGCAGCCTCTCTGGGAACTAGCTGCCTTTGTGGTAAACCCTTCCTGCATTGACCCCAGAGTCTTTCCTCAGGGATGGCTCCGCTCATCTCCCCGGCGCTCGCGGCTGAGACAGCTCCTCACAGCACGGTCTAGCGGCAGGCGGCCGCTAACGGCTACCCGGGGCCCGGGCAGACCCGGAGCGGGTCCAGGCCCGAGCCCTTCCCCCAGCGCCGCG